GAAATCTTCTTCGTTCCCGTTATTCAGTAACATCTTTTGATCAAAATTAACTGCTTTCAAGAAATCCAACGCTCCTTCAACGGGCAAAACTTTGTCTTGGAATATTCTATTGGACATTCTAATCTTCCAATATTTCTCCATGTCGGGATTCTTAATAATATTCTCCAAGTATTTTCCAAGCGTCTCCACACAATTCTCAATCTTTTCCCTCCCGCTGTTGCAATTTTGAATAATTAAGCTCGCTATTAATCCGGGTTCCTCTCCCCCTCGTTCGTCATATAAAAAGTCTCTTATTTTCTTCTTCCATTGATCTCGCGGCAATATTTCATCAGATATGTATGGACAACGGAAAAATACATCAACTACTGCATACATGGAAGGATCTTCAATTCTATTCTTTTTTTCTTGCAGTGCTGTACTTTCTGCCTGTTGTGAATTTTGCTGTGCTTTTCTTTCCAATTCCATCTCACGCTTAACACGTGCTTAAATAGCGGCATATGACGTATTGAATCTCGGCTTATCAACTTTCTTCGCTTCTAATCTTGCTAAGGCAGCTTCGCCTGCTATTTTAGCTTCTTCTGTAGGTTTTGCTCTTAACACTGGTCTTGCAGGTACTGCTGGAGCTAATCTACTACTAGTAGATTCCGTCAACTTGTATCCCTTTCCTGCATTCATAAACTTAGCATCCTTCTTCTTCTGTTGAAAAAATGACTTTATCTTATCAGCCATATTTACTAGATATTACTGCTGTCCGACAGAAATATATTACTCAGTTGAGGGATTGCAATCTTCAGAGGAAGCACATGCTTTCATAAACTGCTCCGTAATTCTGGAGCCGTAAATGTGCCATGCAACGAAGATCAACGCGACGCTACTGACGAAAGTCAACAGGAAGACCTTGAGCAGTTGAAGCTGAAAATCGTCGAACAACAGCAACGCTACCAATTCACGGAACAGATCGTGAAGTCTCAACGAGATCTCGTCATCAAAGGTAACAACGTGATTAGAAATAAAGGTTAGCCCGAAAGTCGTCGACAGTAACGAGCACAGGCTGAGCACGCATTTATTGATCGCCTCCGACAAATAGTTCATCCAAAGACACGCTGAATCTTCGCATATGTTGCTCATCACATGAAAGAGTTTTTGGATACGTGAATTTCCACTCGCACCACTCGTACTCGTTTTTACGTCACACCACACAGCTGGTTAACGTCAAATAGTTTCTGATGTTTCCTCGACCATCCGCGACTCCAGTTCCGCGAGGGAAGGACGAGGGGAGGATTTAACCTGGAGTTAGAGTGAACGGTCATATCTTGCTTAAAATACCAGTTCTTGTCCGATCACTGAAGTCAAGCAGCAACAAGCGCGTTAGTAGTTCAATTGTTGAACAACTACGAGATTAACAGCCGAGCCGATTCTTAATTTTCAAACACATTCTAAATTGTTAATCAAACCTAAAATTCTGATATTAATCAAAATTATAAATTTCCCTTAATTAACATTTGTTAATACATATGCATTTGCATCGCTGAATAAGTATTGTAAAATAAAAGCATTACAGCGATTTATGATTTGTCAGTTAAGCGAAAAGACCGAAATCAGTATCAAAAATCAACTCAGTTAACAAATGAAATAATTTAACAATTAAGCATTAAAATAACCAGACCGATTTGTAATTAGTTAATTAAACCTAAAGTTTTGATATAACCCTTAATAGGGTTTCGCCTTAATTAACAAATGCATAACAAAGCATGCTAGAGACATCGGAACGCTTTGTAATTTGTCAATTAAGTCTAAAGCTTCGATAATAACTGAAATCAGGATTCGCCTTAATTAACAAATGCATAATTCACTAACAAAGCATGATAGAAACATCGGACCGATTTGAAATTTGTTAATTAGGCCTAAAGTTTCGATAATAACTGAAATCAAAATTAGCCTTAATTAACAAATATATATTTCGATAACAAAGCATGATAGAGACATCGGACCGATTTGTAATTTGTTAATTAGGTCTAAAGCTTCGATATTTCCCAAAATCAGGATTCGCCTTAATTAAAAAATGCATATTTCGATAACAAAGCATGATAGAGACATCGGACCTATTTGAAATTTGTTAATTAGGCCTAAAGCTTCGATAATGACTGAAATCAGGATTCGCCTTAATTAACAAATGCATATTTCGATAACAAAGCATGATAGAGACATCGGACCGGTCTAGTAAATTTGTTATCTAAGCCTAAATGAAAGGAAAATTTTTTCCTGCGCGGGACACGTGACGACGTGACACCTCCCTCTCTGAAATTGTTCGTTGGGTCAGTGACCCTACAAAGGGTCGACGTTTATTGTATTGAGCGGAGGCGTACTAGCTTTGCGTAGTTTGTTTAGATGCACCACCTTGGACAGTCTCCCAACTTGGATCTCGACGTTGTAGTTATTCCTGACTCGAGTTACTTTATGGGGGCCCGTGTATTGGTCACCAAATTTTGACGTCGGTTCCTTCAATAGGTATACTAAGTCGCCCTCTCGGAGATCTTGGGGTTTTAGCTTCCTGTCATTATACCGTTTGCTTCTAATCTTCGATGATTTGAGATTTTCCCGAGCTGCGTTCTGGAACTTGTTTAATACGTCGACTAGGCCCCCGTAGTAATCGAGATAAGTTGGATCCATGTCCTCCGGTATCGGCCGGTCTGCTCCCGGTAGTCGGGCAAGTTTCCCAATGACTAGCTCGCACGGGGTGTATCGTGTGCCTTCATGATAACTGGTATTGTAGGAAAACATTGTTATGTCTAGGAATTCATCCCAATTCTGACCCCTGTTGGTGAATTGTTTAATATATTCCGTCAACACATGGTGCGTCCACTCGACCGACCCGTTCGTTTGAAGATGGAAAGCTGTAGTGCGTAGCTGCGAAATACGGAATTTCTTACACAACGCTTTTATGAGGGAACTCGTGAAATTCTTTCCCTGGTCTGTTAATACAGTTCTGGGTGATCCGAAGTACGAAATCAAGTGTTTTCGGAGTCCATCGGCAATCTCGACAGACGTGGCCGTTTTCAGTGGCACTGTCACTAGGTATTTCGTGAGCAGGTCTTGCATCGTCAAAATATACCGGTATCCTTCTGCTGTAACAGGCAACGGCCCCATTAAATCCAAAGCGACCTTGTCAAATGATGCTCCTTGCGTATCAGTCATGCACATTGGTTGCTTGCCCTTTACCCTGACGAGCTTCTTAAGTTGACAACTGGCACACTGCCTGATTGAGTCTTCCACGTCGCGTTCATCCGGTCCCAATGGTAGCGCTGGCGGAGGCGGTTGTAGGTTTTTGTGACACCTTTGTGCCCGCCGATTGTCGAGGAATGAGCTTCCTCGATTATACCTGACCGGCAGTCAGGCGGAGGAGTAGAAATTGAATTCGGACAAACGATTATTTCACAGTGTGATTGATCAAACAATTCGTTTAGTTTCCGTTGTATATGAGGCCAGGTAATCCTATCAATCTTCGGTGTCTTCGAGATGCTTATTGTTCGCAGATTTAGTTCCCGTGCTACATCTAACAGTGATTCCATGGCTTCGTCCACGATATCAACATTTAACGGTGTATTCATTCCTTCTTTGACGGGTATAGTAATCAGAAATTTTCCCGAATATTCGCTCACGCGCGCTCTGCCCAATTGTAAATCCTCGTGCTTGGGCAGTCTGCCGGCCTGCGTCAGCTGCATCGAACCATTGTCGCAGGGCGTGCTCCGCTGCGTAATAAGTACATACAAATTATCCCTTCGCATCAGGAGCGAGTCTCTGGTTTCCTTCAGATTGCTTGTTAATACAATTATGCGTGAGCTGGAGGCTTGTAGGCGGGGAAACTGATAAGGCCTGTTGACAGGAGAAAAAATCTCTATCTCAGATTCGTCGGTGATTTCCGTGTGTTCTTGTTGTCTTGACGGGGATCCGTAAGGGATTAGAGAGCCCTGAGGATGCTGTCTTTCATTTGAAGCAGTCGAGATCCCTCGATCGTCTCCGATGGTGTCCAATTGCATCTGACCGATTCCCAAGTCGTCCCCAAAGCGGGAGTCTCTAGGCGGCAGTTCCAAGATCTCCCCTCCGGGATCATGCGGCTTATTGAGCGGCGTGCCGTTCTCGAGCGGCAACATATAATCGGTCGGATGAGGCATGATCAACCGTCGAGATGAGTACGAAAATATTGATTCGTCGGACGAGGACGCCGAACCGCGAATGGTCAGCATTACCGATGGGTTTCGCGAAAGTGCATCGGCGTTTGCATTGGCGGATGCGGGCTTGTAAATTATTCTAAAGCAGTACTCAGCCAGTCTGAGTGCCCACTTGGTGAGCCTCGATGTGGAATCCCTCAGCAAATTCAGCCAGATCAGTGGTTTGTGGTCCGTTATCAGATTGAACGTCCTGCCATATATATACGGGCGGAAATACTGCGTTGCGTACACGATGGCCAATAGTTCCCTCTCGATCGTCGAGTACTTCTGTTTGGCTGAGTTTAATAACCTAGAGCAGTAAGCCACCGGTAAGTCCCTGCCCACTGCTCCCGCTACGGCGTAGCTCGAAGCGTCGGTGGTAATATTGAAGTCACGCTCGAAATCTGGGTACTGCAAGATGGGTTCTTGAAGTAAGCAGCCACGCAGTATCGTGAAGCTGGCCTCGTGGATCTCAGTCCACGTGAACGCGACGTCCTTCTTCAGCAAGTTAGTCAGTGGCCTTGCGATTTTCGAGAAGGAGGGAACGAATCGCCGGTAATAGCCGACCAGGCCAAGAAATTGTTTCACTTGTTTTGGTCTTCGCGGTGCTGGGAACGCGCGTACCGCCTACAACTTCCACGGGTCCGGTCTCACGCCATCTTCACCTATCACATGACCAAGGTATACGATCTCCTTACGAAGAAATTCGCATTTATCGGGTTAGAGTTGGAGGTTCGCATCTCGTAGACGCTCTATCAATTTTCGGTACTTGACCTCGTGTTCCCTTAGAGATCAGGCATAAATAATAATATCATCAAGATCTACGAACAGTTCAGCCCCTTAGAGACCCGAGAGGACGTGGTCCATCAGACGCTGAAAGGTCGCTGGCGCG